ATAAAGTATTCACAATCTTTTTATTCTGCCTAACTTCTGTGGAAATTCTTTCTGTGATTGTCATTCCCTCAGACTCTATTTTCTAGAATTTATGTATTGGATAAGGAGAAAACTGGTGAAGCTAGAAATAAAAGATTATTGAATAACAAAATAATAGAATAAATTAATTATAATTATATAATCATATAATTATAATATAATTAGAATGACAAGATTTGTAATCTAGTGTGTTCATATTTCTTTAGATAGAATACAATGACTGATCCAGTGCACATTTATTAGTTCTAATAGTATGTATCCAAGGTTAGGTTAACTTTGTGATAATATTTTCCAAAGGCTGTAATATTAATTTTTCAATGGAACATTAATGATTTTGTTTATTTTGTTAGATGACTCTTCTACACGTTCTTATTTCCATTTCCAGTACCTCAAAGACTATTTAAGAGAAATGTTCACAAGTTTCAGAAAATCAGCCTGACTTACTGTATAGATGTTGACATCAAGATTCTGTATTTATGTAGGATGTTATCACCAACTTGCTCTGTGATCAAAACAGGTTGTATTCTGTTTCAGTTTCTTTGTCTATATGATGAGTACTAATGTGCTGTAGCTAGCTGCTCATTTTTCAGGTTTTAGATCAACTGATAAAAACCTTTTATGGAGATACAAATCTAAAGTTCTCTAAGAGTACTGATCTAACAGAGACTGAGACAAGGTTTTACATTTTGTATTATCCAGACCCACTGAGGCCAACTAGAAGAAATGGGAACACTATCGAATCAATATTCACACTGTGCCTGAACTGTAGATAAATGGAAATTATTTTAGCAACAAAAGTATGGTTCTTTAGAGATGGATGTTCTGGTTCATATTGAATTTCACTCAGAATACCACAATTTAGAAAACACAAGGCAATTAAGTAATGCCTAAATTGACTATTTCCTTTTGGAATCAGAATGCACTTTGGTTCCTGTCAGATCCATGTAACAGAAGATTTGCTGCATCTCTACATAAAATTTAAATTGGAAAATGAAGGACCAAGAAAGTCAGCCGCACATGATTGGGCATGCTGAAAAACTGTGATAAAACCATCCCACTATGGCTTGTAGAATAGTAGGTGATGGTTAAATTATTTTTCAGATATTTCCCAAATCAATGTCAATATCTAAAAGGTATTTTAGGCTCATATACAATAATTTCCTCATTGAATATCCACAGTTTTATTTGCTGTTTGTCTTGTAAGTCTCTCCCTTAATCGCTTTCATTTTTACTTTTCCTAATTGGCCCCCACATTCTCTGTAGAGTTTACTCATTTACTTGCTCACTATTTAGTTTTAATCACTGTCTTTTCTACTCTGCTGTTTATGGTTTTGTGTTGCTCACTTTTATTTCCATTTTCTATTTATTTTATGCTCATAGTCAGTTAGCCTATTTTCTTAAAGCATCTTTCCCTAATTTCTTTCATTGTCACTCTTTTGTTATATGATAAATTGTTTCCATGTGTTCCAAAATGCAGATGTAAATATTATTTTCACATAAACATAATATTATTTTCTGTTGTATCAACAAGATTATAAACACATGAACCAAAGAAGCAATTTCACCTAGTTGTGTACTACATGGAAATACCCACTTGAAATCCGAATGTATCATTCTGAGATCCATGCCGGGGCACACCTGGATTTTTACACGTGGTACGAGTTGGTTCTAAAGTGAAGAATTGAAAATAGTAAAGAATTAAAAACATAATTTTTTTTCAAAATTTATACTAGATATATTTCTTTCAAACAAAACATTTTGAAGTGGTCTGGGATTTACTGCAAGTACCCTGAGTAATAATGAAGACTATAATCTAACAGCCCCTTCCCTTGCTAATCTTGAAGCAAGAAATTCAGGTGGACTGCATTGAGTATACCTTAAACAATTCTTGAATTTTGAACCTTTCCAATATAAAAAGTACTTGACATCTGACTAATTCTGTAAATAGCAAGTTAAGAAAATATACAGGCTCTAAGAGAAGTACACATGCATACAACATCTGCTTAAGGACCTTCGTAAATTTCAGGTAGGGAAATATTACCCTGAAGAATGAGAAGTTATTTCCAGAAACAGGATTAATGACTTTGCATTTCACTGAAAGTTGCAGGAGATTCAGACATAAGAATAATAGGGCTGATAGTTTCTGGGTTGCTTTCTTTGTACACAGGTTATTTGGTAAGCTTAGAAAATATGGCATTATGTGAAGATCACAGAAATACATTTATAGTCATATCTTTTGGATAGCATTTTATCAAATTTCATATGAATATATTTTATTAGGTAAAAACAGCAAAGAACTGACAGTGTTTAATAATGCCATTATTCTGAAAGCTTTTAGTGATAAACAAAATTATTCAAGTATTTCTTCTGGAAGTTGAAAATACTAAAAAGAATGACACATGCTCTACAAATACTCATTTTAGTGCCTTCTAATTGGTTCTGTAAGTTTCACTTTTTTAGGATTAAAAAAACATTAAATGTTGCCACTACCTATTAATTCCAAAATTACAGTGCATAATCAGCCTTTAATTACTATTACCTATGCAGTGAGGTGCTGAGCCACTCCAAGTGCCATCTGCTTGACATATTCTGGTGCTTGATCCTACTAATATGAAAGGAGAATTGCAGCTGAACGAAACTTCTGATTGGTATATGAAGCTTTTGCCTTCTCGCTTTCCTTGGGAGGGGACCCCAGGGTCACCACAAAACTTGGCTGGAAGTGAAAACAAAGAAATGTATTGAAAATATTAGAATCCAGGAGAGAAAACAGTTCAGAAAACTGGAGGTAACTCACTGAAACATTACACTGAAGTTGCCTATTACTCAGGATCCCCTATCCCAATGAAAAATTTCACTTTTTCCAGCTTTTATCTACTTAAATCAATACTAAATAACTCAGTATAATAGACAGATTATGAGTCTGATTCTGATATCATGTATCTACATGTGACCTTGTTAAGTACAGAATGTTTTATATTTTTGCCATTTTACATTGCCCATGATAAATTTGTATATCTGTAGTTATATTCTGCAAAGTTAAAATACATCCCTGAAAGGCCATGAGATTCACAGGTCACTCTGCAAAATTAATAACCCATAATGTTCCAGGCTATGGATCACGCTGCCCTTTTACACAAACATACACACACACACACACACACACACACATTCATAGTTATTTGTTCCTTTTACTCTGAACTCCTAGATGACATATTCCAATATTTTACTGCTTCCTCTTCACAATGTATTTCAATTTTTAAGAGGGGGAAAAAGGACCACCAGAGTCCAAATTTATATAAAACTAACAAATCTCAATGTTCTATAATCACGGAAAGATTGACAGGATTTCTAAAGAAATGTATTAATTACATTCAAAATATATTTAGTATCCACTAAAGACAAACATTTTCCTAGGTAGTTTTAGGATTTCAACCTGTCAGTATACATAGCGTATGAGTCTGTTTTTTGCTTTTCATTATTTTTATTTATTTAGGTATTTATTTTGCATAAAATATTTTAATTATTAACAAAGTATCTGACACTTGGTATTATTTTGAACAATTTCTTCCTATTTTACAATATTCATTATACATTTTGGTCCTTATTTACATTCTCAGTTTCTCACATCAGAGAGACTGCAATATTTACATGTGCCCAATTTATTTCTCTTAAGAGTATAGTCTCAAATTGCATCGATTTACCTGGAACTGTCTCATTTATCCTTTGTGGCTTAGCACTCCAATGTATTAAAAATATCATAACATTTTTATTCATTCATTGGTTAATGGGCATATGGATTGTTTTCAAGATTTAGCTATTATAAACTGTGTCGCTATAAACATGAGTGTCCGTGTATCATTGTGGTGTGATGCTTTTAATTCTTTTGGGAAGGTTCCTAAAAGGGGAATAGCTTGATCAAATGGAACCTCTAACCCTAGTATTTTGAGGAAGCTACACACTGATTTAGAGTATGAGTCTTGTCCTTATGGAGTTTACCTATTTGTGAGAGAAGCAAAAACACACATATACATATGTCCATCATACATCCATCATACGTACATACATGAGATAACCAGGAAACAAAGTACTGAGAAGGCAAGAAGTTCTATGGGGAAAATGTTTCGAGGGGAGGATTTCAAGATTGCGGTGTGTACGCGGCGGTGGGCAGCAGAATGTGGACCCAGAGTTTATGTAACGTGGCAAAGGTAGACTCGCTGGAGAGAGATGCAGAGGGGAGAAAGTTGGTTATCCATGCTGATCTGCCGAGGGAGAACATGCCACAGAGAGGAAACATTGCCAGAGCCCTAGGCTGGGGCGTATCCAGCTCACAGGAGAAAGAATGAGTCCAACGTGGCTGGAGCAGAGTGAGTACCAGAAGTGTGACAGGGAATTCAATCAGTTGGATTCAGACCCAACAGACAGCCAGGATGAAGACAAAAGCTTCGTCATCACCACCTCTGCCATGTCATGATGGGGATTTGCAGTGAACCAGTTTATCAACGTCAGATTTGGAGCCTTAAAACATAGATCTTAGAAAAGGCTGCCATTCACAGGGACAAACATTTTAAGGGAAAATGATGTATTTTTTAAAAGAGTTAAAGAGAAAAGACTTTTCATTATGAAGCCCCCAAAATTAATGATCTTGGTTATTTAATTGACTTATATGTATCTGTACATTTATATATGTACAGTACATTGTTTAATTTTGTCACTAAAAACAGTGCTAATAATAATATTCTCGCACATGTCTTCTTATTCATATGTACAAAATTTTCTGTCGGGCATATAACTAGTAATGTAATTTCTGGGCAGGAGACTACACATCTTTAAAGTTCGTAAATAATAGCAATGAGTTTGTAAATGTTTGTATCAATTTACACACCCACCACCAGTGAGTAAATTTTTACACTGTTCCCCATCTACAACATTCGAAACTGTCTAACTTTTGTTTTTTCAATCTCATGGTTAGCAAAGAGCTCTTTAACCCATTTTATTTTATTTTCATTTTTGTTTTAAAAAGACTTCATATATAACAGATATTATCATTAGTTTTTATACATATCGATGATATTTTTCAAGTTATAATTGGTCTTTGATAAAAATTTTTTTCTAATTTTAAAGTTGCTGATTGTTTCCAGATTTTTTATCAGTTTTACCTCACAAAATATATATTTAGAAATCTTTTCTTATCCTCTGAGAATTAAGACGGACTATTAATGTTTAGATTTTTTATATTTAAGTCTTTATTGAGTCTGGCAATGATTTATTCTTTGGAGGGAAATAGAGATTGTGTGTGTGTGTGTGTGTGTGTGTGTGTATGTGTGTGTGTGTGTGTGTACCACTGCTTTTCAGAACTAAGATATTCATGCTGTACCCACTGACTTGTTTTATACCAAGCATCTGTGAATAGTTTCATTCTTTCTATAACACTGATTTACCTGCCGTCCCTGCACCAATTCCATACCGTCTTAATAACTAAAATGATGTACATTTTGATGCCTGTAAAGGACTGTGTAATATAGTAGAGTTACAGTAGTGTACAAACAAAAAATTTTGCCTCTGGGGATATCAATTTGAGTAGAGGTCATAGACAAACAAGTAAAGCTGAGAGTGTGTTTTAACAACAGGGTGAAACTACTACTAAACTAAGGAGAATAAATACATCCTTGAAGGGCTGTGTTCAACACAGAAAATGGTAAACAAGGTGACACCATGATACCAAGAGGAGATTTTTATAAAAAAGCTGAAAGAATAATAGGCAAAGTGAAGAATAATACAAGTGCCAACTACAGATGGCGGTTTAAGGGGAAAAGTGAAGAGATCTGTACATCCTGAGAAGACTGGAGGACGAAGCCAGTCATGAGCTATGGTGAAATCACTGGGAAATGAGGAGGAACAAGTCCAGGGCACCTAAAGGAGAATTTGCTTCCATTGTGAATAAGTTGAGAAAATCCCAGAGGGCTCTAGGAAGCTTAGACTATAAACTCTGCTCATCTTCAAGGCCAAGGGGACAGGTAGAGTTCTCTACCTCATGCTCAGATGGAAAGAAAGACCAGGAATGAGACAGCAGCAAATATCCTGTGACAAAATACTGATCACATCAGATGATACAGTAATACATGTGTGTGTGTAGTCTGTGAGTATATATGTTATATATACATATATTATATATCAGTATGTGTGTATATATTGCAATTATATATTTACAGAGTCCATGAAAAATAAGTATACACACTTCAGTAGTTTACCATACCAATCAATGTCTGGAAGTGAATGGCCACCACTCTGAGCATGTCTTGTAGAGGTTTGTAATAATCTCATGATGTTTCAATACATTAAGTATTAAATTATTTATGTGTTTCTTTTCCTGATATACACATTTTTCTGGCTCTCTCAACCTAAATGTGGTTTTATTTGGTTTTATATTCTTTCAGTACTCAGTAATCTCTACAAAATAATAATCTTTACTTTCCACAATTCCCTTGGTAATTTTAGATGTATAGAAAGAATCATTGTCATTGCCATCAGAACAATTTAAAATGAATAAACATGTACAAATGACATGGGTTTTTTTGTAAATAGAGATTTGTGATCAAAAAGTAATGGATTAGAATAAACTGGACATAAGTAAGAATAATTTTCCAGAAGTAGAGTTAACCTACGAGGGTTTCTACATTAAATAATAATTTTACAAAATAAGAAAAGTTAATAAATAAGGAAGTGTAGCCCAATATTTAGAGTGAGACCAGAAAGAATATAATGGTTGGAATACATGAAAAATAGCTACATTGGCAAGTGCTGATTTCTTTCTTTGAATTTGAGTTAGGCATTGGAGGGATCTTAACAGCCTCATGTATGCTCCAGCCAATTTGAAGAATTTAACAACTGTTGTCTTAAGACACCACTTAAAGTGTGGAAATTACACTTACGCAAGCACTGTGGCACTTCACCACTCCAGGTACCATTCCCTACACAGGTCAAGACAGCGGGGAAGGAGAGTTCGTATCCCGGGGAACAGATGTAGCTAATACTAAAGCCCCAGTCGAAATTTGTTCCTTCCAGCCTTCCATTAGAGATCTGGGGAGGAGCTGGGCAGGTAACAGCTGCAATTACATTAAAAGTGATTAGAAACAGCTGTTGACATATTCTGGCTGTAAAAAATAAATAAATATCATTAGAAGAGGCATATGTGCTAATTTAACCTTTCGGGGGACAATACAGTGTGACATGCTTTATTCTCCTGGTAGAGTTCCTGAAGCATCCCTGGAATTAGTCCCTCTAGGACGCTACTTTTTCTTGGCAACATAATGGCTAATGGTTGTCAGAGATTCTTTTACAAAATAGCAAGCTGTCTGACAACTAAGGGGAGGCAAATAGAGGGTGACCTAGTATCCAGTATACTGAAACTGATAAATTATCAGTTTTAGGTAAATTATTTTTCAATAACCTTTACACAGACTAGGAAGCAGGGTGGTTTGGCTACAGATAGTGTCAGCATTGCTACAGAAGAATTTAGAAACAATCCTATAGTATTTTAAAAACACAGATCATGGGTCTGATTACGTAGCCATATTGGTTTCTGTAACCATTGAGATTTGTGTGTTAAAACTTACAGTTAATAAGCCAAGTGTAGTCCAAAATCTGGAGTGAGACAAGCAAGAATACAATGGCTAGAGCACATGAAAAATAGCTACATTTGTAAATACTATTTTCTTTGAATTTTAAGTAGGCATTGGTATTTAGTTCGTTAGCAGGTATACCTGGGTCTCCACAACTGACGACTATCAGTTTTGGATTTGTAAATGTATTTTTACATTTAAAAAATTTATTTTGTTTAATTTGATTTAAGTTGTCCTCAAGTGAATATAGACTGGACAAGGTAGAAGAGATTAAATAAAATGGAGGGACAACAACTTAAAAGTCTAAAAATGAGAAACAATTCTAATACGACAATCTATATGAGTAAGTCTTTGGTGTTCTTTAATATTAAGAATTGGCATGAATTAATGAATGAATTAATCAACTTCTAAAATATAAAATATGTGTTCATATGTTTGTATATACTATGTATTCATAATGATATGCTTCAGAAACTGTATAATCCAAAAAGTAGAAATTACATTGGATTATAAGTCATCAGGGAGCTATTAAACTACCAATTCACAGACATTTAAAAATATATATGAATGAGAAATCTCAGTTAATAAAAATGAAAATTATTATATAATATGTAAATTGATATTATATTTATGATATTCTATAAATAATCATAAAAGCAGGTAAAAGATTATGAAACTATTGCAAGTGGGACAAAATAGTTTAAAGTAGCAACTCTATTCCTACATCAACTAAAAGAATAATATTAGAGTCTATTATTTGAAGAAACAGGTTTTCATTTTGGTTAAGAAAAACTACGGTTCTATAAACCAGGCTGATTTTTCTCAAATTAGAGAAAGTATTTTTTTCCCATTCTTGAGTGACTTTACCTAAAGGGTACAACACACTTGAGTTAGAATTCATTACGGGTCCATTCTTTCTCAGATGTTCACCCATCAATAAAAGTAACAGTACGATTATATATTAGAATACATCATACCTTTCTTCTTTTTGTTGCATTAAAACCCACTGTACTTACAATAATATATAATGGTTTGGTCAAAATATAATTTTTAAATTGTATAAATGAACAGTATTTTTTTAAAAAAAACTTGTCAGTTTGCAGTAGCAGAGAAAGAAGAAGCAGAATAAAAGTTTATTTAAATGTACTTTAAAATCACATAGAAATTAGGAAATTCATGGTTTTTGCCGTGGAAAATCATTTTCTTACCTCTGCAAGTGGGCATCACTCCACTCCATGTGCCGTTCGTGGTGCAAGTTCTGACTCTGGAGCCATTCATTTCCATTGTGTACCCCGGCTGGCACATGTAGGAAACATTTTGTCCCACCACATAATCATCCCCGTATCTTAGTCCGTTGGCAGGGATACCGGGGTCTCCACAACTGATGACTATCAGTATCGGATTAGAAGAGCAGATGGTTAATATGTCATATATTTAATGGTGAGGAGTGGTAAGCATATGGCATCCTCAATACATAAGTAGGGAACATTTGTTACCAGGTCATGAAACACAAGCGTATTTAAACCTCATACTGCAGTTCTTGATTATGATTGGGTATGCTGATTACAACTTCTAAACATATGGTTCAGAAATTCTGATTTTGACTCCGAAAGGCTAGGTTAATATGCCATTATGTTGTAGAGCTCTGAGGTTGTAACTTTCAGTATATGACCATCAAGAAATCATAATACAGAATCAGATTTCTAATACAATACTTGAAATCTTTATTTATATAAGTGGCTACTGACATCTTTAATTTATCATGTTTCTTGGACTGAGAGAATATTTTCCACACGGTATCAGTCAATTGAATATTATAATAGCTTTTAATTAAAATAATGCCAAGTCCACAAAGAATATTCTATTCAATAAATAAATGAGTTTATGACAAGCAGGGTAATATATCTGAATTATGGGCTCCGTGCAAAATGAAACTGACATGGTTTGTGGTGGATAAATCAACTTCTCATAATAACCAGTCAGAAAAATAAACGTGAAGAGATGGCAGCTTCTACCCTACATACACTTGCTATCTAGATTTGGGATGGGTATTCAGTCTTCCTAGTGGTGTCAGCATAAGCCAAGCACAGCTACTGCTTTTGTTGTTGTTGTTGTTGTTTTTTGGTACTGGGGATCGAACTCAGGACCTTGCGCTTGCCAGGCAGGCGACGGAACCACTGAGCTAAATCACCGGCCCAGATACTGCTTTCTTCAACCCCACAACTCCAAGCATCTAACATTTCTGACCCTCCGCGTTCAAGGAAAGTACAACAGCAGTGCATGGGATGCGATCCATCTCCTGTGTGGAAAGACAACCTCCCAGAGAAGGAATGGGAATGGATCGGCAAAGCAAAGCCAAGGGTCATCAGGCTGTGGGGAATAAAAGGCCTAGAACACAACCCAATAATTATGAGGAGGAGAATGCTCAGGTCCAGGGGCCCCAAACCCTCAGTCCCTGTCCCGATGGCCCAGTAGATTTCAGTTGTAAAAGACAAATTCAAACGTAAAATTGTTAAGAATTTCAGGTGGCCATTGAGAGCGTCAAGTTGTAAGCACAAGATCCTTCTAAACACAGGGTTCTTAGCTCCACTGGTCTCCTGCCCATGAGGGGACTGCATGCATCATAAAATTATTTATTCTTGAGGTCATATAAAACCTTTCAAAATGACGAGATAGCTTGGAAAATACAAATAACACAAAGCAAAATTTAAGAATAAATTTTAACCAAGATTAAAAATAAGCCACAAAGGGCCAGGGATTTAGCTTAGTGGTTTTACCGCCTGCTGTGCAAGCACAAGGACCAAAGTTCGATTCCCGATATCAAAATAAATAAAAGCCACAAAAGTGTTAACAGTTTATGAGACACAGGATTTAATCATAATTTGATCAATAAATTGACCAAAAGTTTTCAGAATGGTAAGAAAAAAATAATTACAAGTATTTTTTTCTGGAGATAACATCATGTAGTATACTTTTTAGTCTACCGAATGGCTGTGTATTTAAAAGGGTAAATAATTTTATCAGGTAAACATGGTTTGTTCTCTCTTGCTCCCACACTGCATCTTGAATTCCCTCAGAATGGATTTAATCATGAAAGACCTTAATAGCATTTCAATTAGGTTATATTTGTTTATTTTCTACTACAATTTATGAATGGTAAGTTCCTTTCAGAGTATTCTAAAAGCAAGAATTTGTTTTTGTTTTTGTTTTTTGGGGTTTTTTGGTACCAGGGATCAAACCCAGGACCTTGAGCTTGTGAGGGAGGTGTGGCACCACTGAGCTAAATCCCCCGCCTGAGTCCAAGAAGTTTTGACTATGGCATTTAAAAAAGAATATTTTTAAGGAACCTTCTCTTGAAAATTCCAGAGCCTTCAAGAAAGTTGATAAAATCAAACTTATTGGGTCTTTTATCTGACTTCTATTATTGTATATAAGAAGACTTCTCTTCCTATGATTATTGATGAGGAAAAGATTTGTTTAATTGTACAACTGAATTGGATATGAAATCAAATAATTCTGTTCATTACCAAAAATGGTATTTCATTTGAAATTTCAAAATTTATAACCACATGAAAATGGTTATAAACCTTCATTTTATTTTACTTAACTTTAAGATATTCTTTATTATAATCATAATTCCTAAATTAGGAAGGGGGAATTAACAAGAACATCTAGAAATTGTTACTTTCTGGACAGTGTTTGCACAACCTGAATTAGAATCTTGGCAAGAAGGAGCAGCGGAGCAGTTCGGAGGCCCATGAGCTAAGATGCAGCCACCGAGAGAGAGGACAGAGGGCTTATTTTACACATGCACTAAGGAAGAGTCGTGCATACTGTGGCAGCATCATGAATGAAAAGTCTGACAATAACAGCTTCAGAAGGATTTGTTGGTGACTTCCTAATGAAGTAAAGGCCGGTCAAATGGCAGTTTCCCATAGCAACAGTCTTTGTAAACTGCACCTGCTCTGCAAGTCAATTCATTTACTACCAGCTTATTCTCAACAACCAAAGGAGGCTTTGGGTTTTTTAGGCAAAACCTTAGAATGACAGTTCATTAGGGTTTCATGCTAAAATTTGGAGAAGTCAGTGCTTGTTAAGGGTTCTGTGATTTATTTCAGGAAATTTTTTTAACAATACCAAAAAAATCCTAAATATAAATCACACAGAGAGAGACATATATGGACTTGCAGTAATAAATTTCATAAACACATACACACATATTGTCTCCTTTCTATGCTGTTCTATTCCTGGAGCCCAGTCTAGTGCATGACTCATTATGAAAGATTAAATATTTGTTTAAAGAATAAAGAATATAACGAGTACATGAAGGAAGAATTAAAATGTCAGTTCAAATTTACAAAAGTACATAAATTCTTCTAAAGTTTTGAATTTGTTTTGTGGAAGGTTTCTCATTGCTATAAAACTGGTGCACATTTAACAATATTTATGAAAAATCTAATTATATAACCTCTGCAATAAAAATGAAACATAATTATGCTAGTTCTACTCAGACATTGCTACCTCAAAACTACTTTCTCTTTTAACTATTTATTGTTGGCATTATAAATTTGTATTTTTTTCATAAAAGATCATGTCCCCCCACAAGTTTTATAAACATAATTCATTTTAACTCAATATCTAATGGACATTTTTGCACGTTACTACCCATAGATCCATGTAACTTATTTTAATGACATAATATTGCCTCATGTAGATGTATATATAATATACTTTATATAACTAAAGCCTTATGAATTGATGTTTGAGTTATAATTGAGAAATAAATTTTGTTCTTTATAAATTACCCAGTTTAAACATTTTGTTAGGTCAGTACAAATAGATGAAGACGTGTAAATTTCAAAATGTGCTATCAGAGACCTGATTTAGAAATTTATTCATTTCAAATTAATATTTAGGTTCATACATATGGCCACTATAAAAATGGTATGTACACAAGACAAATAAATTAAATAAAAATTTATTTAAAACATGTATTTTCCTTGAATTTAATATTTTTGGCACCCCATGAAAAATAATTAAATTAAATGGAAAGTTTAACCCATTGATATGGTAAAAATTACTGCTCAGCACTGAGCTTTTCAAGGATTCAAAAAGTAGTTTTTAAATACTTTGTAATCTCAGTTTCCTAATCTATGCAAAACATGTTTAGAACAATCTCCAAAACTTTAAGACTCTTTTAAATATATCAATCATATATTTAAAATAACTTTTACTTAAAATTAGTGAGAAGAAATCTGAAGTGCTGATTTGAATTCAATGTTATCTTCCCCATATAAATGCTATCAGTGTGTTACATTTTTAAATTACAGAAATGTAGGCTGTTTTGATTTTCACAAAAATGTCTTTGGTTCATTCTGGTAGGTGGTTTTTGTTTTGCTTTGTTTTGTTTTTCATTTTGGGGGGTTTGTTTGGTTTGGTTTTTGGTTATGGTTTGAGTTGTTACTAGAATGTTAGATTTCTTTTTCTTTTTCTTTATTTTTTTCCCTATTAAAAAAAAACTGGTAGACCTTCCTGGCTTTTATATAATAGTAATTTATCATTGAAAAGGTAATGCTTGAATTACATTTTTCAATACAATATTTCTCTTTGAAGAACTGACAAAGAAATGAAGTTTGTTTAGCTTTTTGATATGGTATTTATAAATATTGTGTTTCAAACTATGTAATTTTTAACTTGATTAAAAATCCCTAGGGAAAAATGAAGGCCTTTTAATTAAAAAGTCAAAGTCATTTTCAATCACAGGAAATGGGATATTAAATTTATCTTTACAAAAGCTGGAAAACGTCTTTGAATAAAAGAATGCAGTATTTATCCATGAGTAAATAAAAACATTATTCATTGTGAATGTATTATTCAAGAGGTCTTTTTATTCTGAATGTACTACTTAACTCTCTTCAATAACTATAGATTGGAAACATAGTAGATCCCAGAACCTATGTGCTATGGCAGTTTTAAAATTACAGGCTCTACCTGCAAGTAATTTAAAGTGGAATTAGAATGGCAAATCATGTATTCTGATAGAAAAAATATTATTCATATATTTTGCTCAGTTAACAGCTATTTAATGAGCTGATATAAAAGGTGAATAAGAGTTTTAAAGGCTCAGATGGGATAGTGTAGTATGCAAACAGTAATGCATATCTGTTAATTGATAAATTGTTCAGAATTCCAAAACTGAGATATTCTCCAAATTAGCAGGAGGACTTTTGGTTTACTTCAGAATGCAGAAACAAGAAAACAACTGAAATCAAAACAAGACAAAACAAAAACAAGTACGCGAAAAATAGGTTTTGAAGCAATAACATCAGCCAAGCAAGCACAGCAATCCTTGAGTGATGGAAACAAAGTACAAGAGGACAATACATGAAGCTGTGGGAATGAAATTGAAGGTTCAGTGGAGATCCCAGGAAGTTGGAGATGTCAGGAATGTTCAATGTCTGCCAAGGGAAAACACGCAGTGAGAGGAACCAGTGTAGAGGAGAGGCTATTTGGACTACAGCCAGAAAGGCTATATGGGTTGGGCCGTCTAAGCCCGAAGTGAAAGGATTTAATGTTTTAGTCTTGCTTTGGTCCTATTATTTTCTTTTTGTTATTCCCTTTTAGAATGGGTAGATTTACCTTATACCATTGTATTGAGAATTACGTAACTTGCTTTTTTAATTTTAGAGTGGTTTACAACTACTTATGCCTTGAAACTCAGAGTAGGCTTTGATTTGAACTTTTGAGCAGTGCTGGAACTGCTAATACTCTTGCAAGTCTTGGATTAACTAATTGCATTTTTTATAATCTTATAAACATGAATCTTTAGAGAGTTGGAGGTTTAATATTATCGTTTACATCTAAAATGTCCCCCCAAAATCTAATGTGTTCTTTTGAAAGGTGATTGGTTCATAAGGCACTACATTCACCAGTGGGTAATTAATATTGTTTAGATGTTGGAACTGATTTGAGAAGGTAGTCACTGGAGCTGTGACATAGAAGGGTATCTTGTTGTCCCCATTCCTGGCTCTTTGCTTCTCTTTTTACTTCTTTACTGTTATGGATTGAGCAGCTTTCTTCTGCCATGCCTTTTGTCATGTTTCTGCTATGTAGCCTCTTGATCATGGACTACACTCTTAGGAACCATAAGTCAAATAAACCTCTCTTTCTTTAAATTATGTGTATGAGGTTTTGGGTCCCAACAATGAGAAAGCTATTTCAGTATGTCTTTCAAAAAGTCAAGTTAGTTATTGATTTGTGTTGAACTGGCAAAATAAAGCTATATCTGTTGTATTTTTAATCTTGATTACAGCCGATTAGTCATCATTATTCTTGAAATTCTACTGAACTATATTTAATAGCATGACTTTTCTATGATCTCTGTTTCTTCTGTCAGCCAATATAGTATCTTGATAAGCCAACTCATACTTAAAGTCACTAATGTGCACTTTAACTATAATACTATCATGTGTTAACCTGAAAGACAATAAAAATATTCAAAACCTTGCATGGTTTTGTTAATAACAAAATATATATTTATATACTCAAATTTCCTGTAAATAATCACTTTTAAATACTGAATAAACACTTACTTGTACAGTTAGGCAAGCTTCCTGACCATGTCCCATTGGCTGTGCACTGTCTAACTGAAGGTCCAGAAAGAATATATCCTTCCATGCAGGAATAGATGACTGAACTGGAAAATGTTGTGCCATCAATTCGAAAGACTTTCCCATTGGCTGTTGTTCCTGGGTTACCACACTGCACAGCTATGACAAGATGTTTAAACATGCATAAAAATGATGCAATTAGAAATCCTTTCCATAAGAGTTAATGACTACATGATTCTTTCAAATTATCCAAAAGAGCAATAAAATCTTTCAAAATAAGTGGTGAGCTCTCTTTTATAAGTTACCGAATTCAAGATGAATTTATGTTGATTTTATTAGCTTAATTACTGAGATAAATTACTGGAGATAAATCATAATAACAGATTCATTTAAGACCATTGGTAGGAGCTTCAGTAAAAACTTCACAAAATAATTAATTGCAGAGTACTGCCTTTGGGTTCCAGAAAATCTTTCAGAGAGGGATTATAAGGCCCTCTGCTTAGAAAACAACTTAAATAAAATTGGAAGCAAGGTTACAACACTATGATGCAATAGATAATTATTATATTTATAGTCCAGGGGCAAGCATCAATATGCAATTTAAATATTATAGGCATGTACACATATTTGTATATAAATATATAATTGATTTGCATTAAAAGGTTATAATCTCCATTTTGGGGCCAAGGGGTACAAAAAATAAATGAAGCACAAAAACAAAGTAACTAAATTTTCATAAGAACTTTAATTAAGTTTTCAATATATCCTAAACTGGAGTCCCAAATACAAATTTTTTAAATAATTAACTATTATATAATATGTGTATAACTGCTTGTCATCAATACAGTACAAATACATTTTTAAAATACCTTAAAAACAATTATAAAGCAAATATAATAGTAAATTTTACGGTAACATCAGAAGATATTTTGGTACTTTAAAAAATTTAAGGCTATGTTCATAAATATGAAGCATAACTATAAATGGAGAAAGTCCCATTTATATCCCCTGCTGCTTCGTAAATATTTTATTTTCACTGTCATTTGTAATGGAGTTAGGTGTGTATGTTTATGCATTACATTTTACATATGATGATAAAAGTTAAACTTTAGATAATATTTTCAGCAGAATCTAGCACAGAATTACCATCTTTGACTTGTTGGGATGTGTAATTACCATTTTCCAAAATAAAATTCTTGTCATATTTATTTGTCATGTATCACGGTACATAGACCTGATGCAGTGCAAGAAGGATTTGGTAAGATGAATTGTTTCAAAATGTCATGTAGTTTATGTTTTGAAATAGGAAACTAGGTCCAGTTTTATTTCTGCACAACAGAAGCAAGAAATTTGATAGTCTTGGTGGTTTCAAGCTATAGCTAAATCATGCCATCATTCCTGATCTCATCTTTAATTTCTCCACACTTAATATACACATTTCTCTTAGCCAAAATATTTTCATGTGAACTAAACTCAAGTAAAATGAACTTCCCCAGTATTATTTAATCCTCAGAACAATGCTGAGTTAATATTAGCATCAACACCATTTCTTGGTAGGGAACTGAAGCATAGAAAGATTAAGCAACTTACCCAATGTCACACAGCTAGTTAAGGGCAAATAACTTGTTTAGTATAAATTCCTAAGGATGATTCTGATTGCACAAAATGAAAGAAATGGATCATATTCAAGCTTGTATATGATCTCTTTAAGCATTATATGAATTGAATACTTGTGTGGCAGATGCTTTATCTGAATGATACTTTATATATTTGTCTTTGTTTTGTTATTACACTCTACTCTTGTTTTAAGGTCATTGTATAATTTTATATCAAAGTAACAAGTAACCATTTCTGATAGGTCCAAAAATAAATGAAAGTATACAAATGAAAGCAAAAGACCAAGAAGTGGTAACACCTGATCAAATAATTAGTCATATATATGTGTGTGTATGAATACATATTCATTTCAATATTTTGAGAATTGTGCTGAGAAGTTTTCCAAAACTGAAACATTACCATTGTAAAAGTAGAACTAGCCTATTCCTGCTGTTTTGTAATACTATTGTCTTAACATCACAAAACATTTCTGTCATAAAATTCAGAAACTGATTGGCTTTCTGCATGTACATATTGAGAATTTACCAATCTGATTTTTATTGCTAACCATTATATTTAGTTTAGTACTGTTTTGCTTTTCTACTTTTCTTTTCTTTTTTTTGGTACCAGAGATCGAACTCGGGACCTTGTGGTTGCAAAGCAGGCGGCGGAACCACTGAGCTAAAGCCCCGCCCCTGCTTTTCTATTTTTTTGATTATGCTACCTAATACATACACAATTCTTTACACTGGTAATATTTTTAAAATAAATAACTAAAAGTATAATTTCGGGTTCATTTTAATTATTGAAAAGTATTTTTAAGTTGTTTAAAGTATTTAGCTTTGGACCACCCAAAACATTATATAATACTATGCACTTATATGAATAATGTAAATTTTCGTTTGCTTTAGCACATTTCTCTACCACACCATTTGCCATATTTTTGTAAAACTTTTTAATTTGTCAAAAATGCTATGTTCATTACATTTGCTTTGTTCTATTTATTGAGTAAATTAAGTAACTTAAATTATTTCATGTTTTTATTTTTAATATGCTTTATGTTCATATTTTGTGAAATTTTTTATATTTTATTGTAAATTAAACCAATATAACAACAATAAAGTTACTTGAAATAAAGAGATTAAATTTTCTTAAATTCATATTTCTATTCTATTTGAGCATTTCCTTTTACAATTTTTCTCATAAGAATAACATTTTCCAAAGTTCTAATGAACTATAATTTTAATTTTATTTTTAACTGAAATTTACATGTTGCACTTTTTCTAATATTGTTTCAGAAACTGAATTTTAATGTTTTATTGATTATGCACCCATATATTATATAAATGTATAACTGTTTATATATTTTCCTAGTGTAAGATTTTTCCCAATTATTGTTACTTACAAATAATTAGATACAAAAGATTATTCTCATGATTGTATATTTCCTATTAAACTTATTTTCATTAGAAAAATAATTTCTCACAAGTGGTAAAATAAATTAAACAATAGATATATCCTATGAATTTTATGTATTTTTGTCAAATTACTCTTAAAATATAATACAGATAATTTTGAAATACTCCAAAATTCTACTTTTCTGTAAACACACACCAGAATTTCACATGACCATTTTCAGCATATGTGAAATGATGTCTGTATGTTAAATCATAATCTTCGGATTAGTAGTTTTCTTGAATTTATTTAATACATTTCTTTTGTTTTGTTTTTTTTGTATTTTCTATTTATATCTTTTGCTCACTCATTTATCTACTAAAACCTGTTCATCTAAGTGATTCTAATGAACTCCATTTATGAGAAAATATTTATTGTGTTTGCTACAACTGATACTTCTCCTATCCATAATGCACATGTCAACAAGAAAACGTCAATAGCAGTCTGCATTTCTTCTCTAAAACAGTTTGTAGCTAAGCTAATCAAGGCGCTGACGATCACTCATGTATAATGCTGCATAATGATGCCTATAAAATCCTTATGGAGGATTTGCCTTTGTTAAATAGTTTTGAGAAATAAAGTGAGCAGTTTAGTCTGCTTTGCTGTATTTTGCTCTGTGACTAAGTTTTCCAACTCTTCTTCCTACATCAGCTAGTTTTCAACTCTCTGTTAATATTATTAAAATTCATCCAGTTTAAAATGATAGCTATATTTCCTAGAATATGGATACTAATTTTAAACAGAATTAAAATATTTTCAAAATATAGTCAATCAGAAAATTCACAAATATTTTATTGAGAATTATTTCCTATTTACAAACTGATATGTTTGGTATACCCTCAAATTTGCTTTATAAATAGCTTTGCAGGTTTATGTTTTGAAATAAAACAATCACAAAAATACAATTTACATCACAAGAATAATTTGCAACAATATTTCATTCCTAACCAAACTCTTGAAGATTTACTCATGTTAATTCTAAGTCAATCAGAACAAACAAGCACTTTACTCAAAAAAATTAAATTTGATGATTTCTAGTAACTAGTAAATGTATTCTACAAATAAAAATTTACTTTTAAACATCTTTCTATATTTTCCATTCATACAAGTTTGGAATGTAAAATATATACTGGAGGAATAATTTATTTTCCCTACTGTTTACAATAAATATAAACCTTTTAATTTTTTTTTTACTTTTTAACTCTAAGTGCACGCTATGCTATGAACAAATTTCGTATGTAGATAACCAATGAGAATTTTAAAATATAATAATTATTTGTCAGTTCTATTACAGAGTGGTGTCTCTAAAACTAAAATACTACAGTTTTTATTTCATGGTTCCAAAGTATCATTATCCTAGAAATATTCCACTGAATTTGAATGCACGAATGCACATAAAATTTCAGCATTCTCAATCTGTTTGGTTTCTGCATGATATTACCTTTGCATTCTGGCTGCCTTCCACTCCAACTGCCATTGGCTAAACATGTTCTTTCTTCAGAACCATGAATGATGTAACCCGTATAGCAAGCGAAACGTACAGTGCTTTTAGTTCTGAAATCACTCTCCTGTCTAGAACCATGACCTGGAGTTCCTGGGTCTCCACATGTGCCAGTAGCATCACCTCCAATACAAGAAAGTTCACGTTAACTCATTTCAGTAAACACAGTAAGTTCACAATTTAAGCTAAAATCTAGTAGGCATTTATTTTTATGCAAGACGTGTTCTTTTAACATGAGAACTTGACTGAGTAAAATTATAAAATTATAATTCATATTTCCCAAATTATTCCAGTAATAAAAAGTCTAAATAAAAACAAAAGAGTTGCAGAGTATGGTGTTGTTTCTTTGTCAATGATATGTGGAGACATTAGAATGTTTATAGACATTTCATTAATATTTCTAGAAGCTAGTAATAGCAAGTAGAAAATATATACCTGACATCCCCACAGATTCAAAATAAAATTAAAATTACAACTTGGATTCTATAGTTTACCTTTTTCCTTCTCTTAGTTTCCTAATTACTGATAATTAGTGTTTTATGCTTGCTTTATGTTTAATTATGTCTTATGGTTATTACCCTAAAACTGTGGTTTGGCAAGCATATAAATATTATAATTCTTCATATAGCCTAACATTCCCCTCCAAATTTCTCTACCAGTGACTATTGACCAACAATGAATGAAATAAATTATAAACCACCAAAAATTACAAACTGGCATAATTCTCTAGTAAAGATTTTGTTGTTCAATTTTTTATTTTATTGTTAAGAATTTACTCATTTTGGTGTTTTTCTCACTTGCTAAATAATTCTAATCAAAGTTGCCATCATATCAATACTTATTGAGACAGAGTGAGGAAGAGGAGAGAGAAGATAAAGGACAAAGTAGTTGACTCCATAAGCATTGAATATGCTGTCTTTCCAGATGGCTTTTGCAAATGCTCTGTTATTGAGAATTCTTCCTTGCATCTACTCGTTTTTATGTGACATGATTTTAATAACCACTCAAATTTTAAGATAAGCATATTATTTTTAAACATCTATACACATTCAGTAGCAGGTTATTAATGCACTGATGTTTGTATGTGTAAAACATGTGTTTATGTGTTTATATATAATCAGTTCTCTGAGGTTGATTTTTCTGTTTTACTCAAAGATTTTAAGTGTTATGAAAATCATTTTTAGAGTCACATTTTAAATGATAGCTTTTTAAATTCATTGATTAAGTGTAAAATCCCAATTACTTCTCAGAAATTAACCAACAATTATAAAAACATTTGGCACCAGAGTAACCATTTCAAACATTCTCCTTCTAAAAGGAAAACAATGTAAAACAACTACTAATAAGTTATCCACCTGATTTCCACAGAAGTAAAATAATTTAAGATTGACAGTATATAGATAAAAAAGAACAGGCATAAAAATAAGCAAAGTATCTATTTAATGGGTAAAAATAATTAGTATCAACTAGGGAGCCTTATTACATCTAAATTTTAAATTATATTTTTGAAGACAAGCAGTAGGTTAGTCATCTTAGAAAAGATTTATGGGGTACTCTGAACAGATTATTAATTAAAATAGGTTTAATATTAATTTATTCAAAGATAACTAGTGGGGTTGCAAAAATCTCAAAAGATGTATGTTGCATTTTAGTAATATAGAAACGTAGGACAGATGAATATTTTTATAAGCCTTGTTAGGTTAGTTCAATTGAAAACATTTATTTTTAATTATGCTATTAGGCAATCAATTGCTTAGAAAGTTAAATAGAAAAAATACTCTGGCAGAAAATCATTGCCTTCTGGGGAAAATTGCATTTCATGTATACTAAAATATAATAGCTACTTAACCTGAAGCAGTTTTGTCATTTTTACTTTTAAGAAATGCTCTTCTCTCAGGGTAGCATCCTAAAGCTCCGTAATTTTTTATATTAGACACTACACAGTTCAAAAGTTGCACCTACAATACATCATCTGGATGATCAGTTTTAATTTGCCTCTGAATTCACATCTCTTAGGAGTATTGCAGATAATATACAAGCGATGGTTCAGCTTTTCTCACAAAATTTTTACAAGAGGAACACACGTATTACATCTTTCAATTTTGTTTATATTCTCATAAGAGTGTAATTTCCAACACATTGTCCAATTTCCCAAGTGGTACCTGAACAATGAGGCTGCGCGCCACTCCAGTGTCCATTCAGTTGACAGGTTCTCGATGACAGGCCTAGAAGGGAACGCTTCCCTGTGCAGGTGTAGTGAACAGTAGCCCCAAAACTGTACTTCTCGCCAGACAGGACCGCATTAGGGGGAACGCCAGGGTGTCCGCAGTCAATCACTACAATACATAATTATTGAACATAAAATTTTTTTATATCTCCTATCGAACAACCTGAATGAACTTATTTATAAAATAATTAGGAAATAAATGTTCTACTCAAAATTCCAGAAAAGAAACATTTCTCTGTGAAAGATGGCTTTTTAAGCATATATGATGTTTGCAGTTCCAGGAGCTATAGGGTTAACCTAGCCATCCTAATGATGAGATCAAAGGGAAGTGACAAGTAAGCATCAAAATGTTAAAGTCTGTGGCATTTGTGATTGTGTGCCTGCCCATATGTGTGCATATGAAGTGTGTGTGTGTGTGTGTGTGTGCGTGTGGACAAGGATACTCAAGTTGTTAGGGAGAGGCATGAGACTGGTCAAATAAGGTTACAGGAAGCCACGTGGAACTCAAAATGAGAATGAACAGAAATTACGAAGAATTTTGAGAGTAAAGGAGATGAAATGAAGATGGATATATGCTTCATAAGCAACATTATAGTCTAGTATCATTCCATGCCAAGTATCCTGTGCAAAGAACATATTCAGTAGACTGTCATCTAAAATGCTGCTAGGTATAACACAATTAGAAGTCAACAGATTGTAGAATATTCTTTAATAGCGAGAAGGAGGTAGGGTAAATAGTTGGTACCTCCTCTAAGTGAACTTGGAAAATAAATAGTGAAATATATTCTAGATTATCAAACAGCATACGAGGAAACAAATTTACTAAAACCTTTGAATAGATAGCACATTACCAAGGAGTGTTATAGAAAATGAAAAGACAAAAATTATATGAGAGTTAAGAAAACATGAAGAAGTTCAGAATTACATGACCAATAAAAAGATTTTTAAGTGTAATATCACTACATAAATCTATGTAAGTGAATCACTCAGTTGGGCTACTCTTCTGAAAGAAGAATAAATTTCAATTAACAGGCCAGTCTAGTAAGTAATTTGCATGAAATATAAAATTTTATAGGCACAGTGCAAAATTTTTGTTTCTTTGTTAATCCATGAGTGTTGTCACAAACTCTCTCAAAAACTCACCTCATGAATGCAAAGGAAATACCTCTAAATAAAACATGATCATAAAATAATTTTACAATTGAGCAGTTTAGTATAACCAAAAATTATTTGATTCCTTGACAGAGAAGTCTTCATTCTGTAAAGTTATTCTCTTCCCTATCATGTCAAAGCTTCACAAAGTCTTTCAATTTGAGATCTGTCAATAGACTAAAACCTCAGAATTAATTCACCTGTCTTCACCAAATTTTGATTTATTCCTTTTACATTATTTTTCTCACTACACATATGAATTATATATATTTCTGCTATTATTTATTTTCTTTATATTCTACAGCTCTTAAAACAACATATAACAAAATATGTTCAATGTTCAGTGACTTGAAAGATGTGTGCATTAACAATTATTGTGTCTTTATTTGATAAATATTGAGCAATCATAAATTTTAAGTAACATCCTTCTTTAAACACCCAAGTATTCTGAAGCACTGATGGCTTCTTAAGATTTATTTTACCTCAAAATGTGAAATTTGATAAAAAATAAAATGTACTTGCTATTTAAGGATACTAATAAAAATCATAGTGTATAAAACTCGTTTTTCATATTCTATTTGCTTTCATAAATCTCAAAATCAATGATGGCAGAAAAATATTTACAAATTAATACTAAGAAAGATTGTATTTGAATTGATTTACTAGAATGTATGAGAAGTGTAGTTTCAAAAAAATAATGAAATTAATGCTGATATAGCTCTAGCTATTTTATAAAGACGTTAAACATTCATATTGCTTCCATGACATTTTCCCAAGGAATAATTCACATTATCTACTTACTGATACATTCTGGTAAAGGCTTGTCCCATTGTCCATTTGGTTGACATATCAAAACTGAAGATCCAAATAAAAAATAGCCAGGATTGCAGTCATAAAATACCACAGTGCCATAGGTGAAATTTCCATGTTCTATTTTACTTTCTCTTTTGGAATTGGCTGGAATTCCAGGATCGGAACAGTTGACAACTGAAGAGTCACAAATTTTAAAAGATAGTTTTGGAATAACATGCAGATACTTACATAGATCTCTTTTAAAAATTTAGAATCTTAATTTCAGAGGTAAAATGTAATCAAATCAACGAGAGATTCTGAAAGTTAAATTAAACCATGGACTGCATAGATAATGGAGTGAAATGAGTTGGCAAATTTTCTGATAATAGCAACTGCATAATAATTATTCCAAGTACAGATGTTTTAAAAATTACTATGTAAACTACCATTGAACCACAGAAAAAGCATGTAGAAAAATTATATTTTCCTTGTATTTTATGAGACAATATGAAGTCCACTATGTTTCCTTGCAAAATGAGAACTCAGTACATAATGGCCTCTTTAATCTATTCCTGTATAAAAAAAATAAGAAGTAAATCTTCTATGCAAGTATCATGGAAATCCAGGTCCCAAAGACAGTTTTTCCAAAATATGGACAAAATGAATGCTAAAGGTCAATGTTATTAGTTATGAAGCAAACTACATGTAAGAGTGATCCTAAGGACTTTTTCTATATGATTGAAAAGATATTCAAGTTAAAGTTAAGTAGAAGTATAATCCACCAGGTTTAATTTTTTAAAATAAGTTAACAATTTAAGAAAAGGGACAGAATTGCTAACACGATGACATCAGCCTTAAAGCTTTTGATTATATTAGTTTAACACTTTCTGCTCTTCTCCCAAGCTGCTCCAGATGTGCCATTTTGGCTTAAATTTATGGGTGTCCCAAACTGGTTAATGGTGACACTTTTACCTCTGCACACGGGTGGAGGGTGGCTCCACTGCCGGTTGGTCTGGCACTGTGCTTTGGTGGGCCCTTGCATGAGATACCCAGTATTGCAGGAGAATGTTACCACATCGTTAAAATTGAATCCATTTCCACTTGTTCTTCCATAAATCGGACTACCAGGGTGACCACAGCTAACAGCTAGAACCAATGGTGTGAGAGAACAGACCAAAACATTTTGTTATCAATTATCATTTGAAAATTAAACTTAATGATTTCAAACCAGGTAGAAATGCTACCTTATATGATGATATTCATGTAAAGTATTTGTACTAATCCAAAGGAACAAGCTAGCATGAAATAATACAAATAATATACTAGCAAGAGAAATATATTAGTAAGCCAAATTAGTTAAAATTATGAGTTTTACATAAGTAGTGCCAGATATTTAAAACTTTATAGTACCAACTTCATTCTCTTTAATTTTTTGTAGATAAATATAAAATTTCAAGGAACCATGGGGGAGTTACTGAAGTTTTCACTAGTTAATAGCAGCAAGGAACAAAATTGAATGAATTGTCTTTTTTCTAGTTTAAGAACTAAAGGTATTGAAAGCATAATTTTTAAGTATTACTTTTGAAATTTGTTCCTTAAATATTATTTACACAATCAACTTTATGAATAATAGCTTGATAAGCAAAAGTGTGCTTGAAATGTAAACTCACGTGACCACACAAGGTGGATAATATGAAATGATTCACGTGGTGCACAAGAATTCTCAATAATATGTGGAGGTATCAGTGTTGATATTCTTAAAACCAATTAATCTCACTGGTTTATTTACTTCACTATGGCTATTTGATAATTGAACATGATTTTGCTTGGAAATCATATTCTCAGATGAATTACTAAATGTTTTAACATTAAAATCCTACTATAAATTTTATGTATTGCTACCTTTCCCTAAACACTTCATATTTCAATGAACTGTTTTACTGCATCATCTCACTCTATTAATCACAGCAACTCTGGTAGCAGTGCTTTATAATTGGGCACAGGGAAAGATCACAGTAACTTTTAGTGCTTTCAAAATGACCCAAGAGCAATTATTTTTCAGCGGTATTGTTAATGTCAGCCTACTCATTTAGAAATTTAACTACATCTAATCTTTAAAATCATCAATAGAAAAACAGGTTCTACTCTAAGGGCCAATCTCATTTATAGTTTCAATTATTCATCAGGAAAAAAACAGTGGTATTAGGTGGTTATGCCTGAATATAAATGAAAAGTAAAATACTTAGGACAAATCCAAGCAGAATATTAGTGTCCTTAAATCATTAGACAATCCAGTAACATGTATGGATGTGTGTCTTAGAAAAGTAATTTTGTTAACTGTATGCATTATTTACCCTGTTTTCTCAACACACATAAGTATTTTTTATGAATTAGGATTCTAATAAATTTTGGTAGGTTATATCAAAATTTGACAATGAAGGAATTTATCAATATGAGTTAGTCATATATTAAGTAAAATATGTCCTATACACCTAAATTTAAATATCATGTATTAGCACCAACAATCTCTATTCACTGTTGTATGATGCTATAATTATGACATATTTATAATAGTTATCCACTAAATAAATTTTAACAAAGTAAGAGAAAAAAGAAATACATACATATTTAATTTTAAGATCCAGAATAGGATAAATTGTGACCTGAAATAATGTGTGCTTCTGAGGACTGGGTGGAATAAGAAAATGTAATCATTATTCAATTCTATTTGTATTTTTCAAGTATAAGTCCTAATGCATACACAGCGCACCAGAGCCAGCATGCTTGATTTTTCCCCCTTACTAACAGAATACATTCCGCAGGAGCCTTCTTTCCTAATGGACTCACTTCAATAGGGTCTAGACAAGGACCTGTGACTGCTGGAGTCCCAATAGCCACCAGAAACTCTGCTGCAAAGGGGGTAGGGAAAGTGACCGTTCGGGGTACTCCTTTGGGTACACAATGAATGGGTCCAAATGTTCTCCCAACATAAAACAGCAGTCTGAAGGGGAGTACTGGTTAGGGAGGAGGAAAGCAAATGTTCACTCCCCAGTGGAATTCACAACAGCCACTCTGACTTAGAGCCTCCTGTGGACAGGGTCAGAGGAGGTGACGGTAAGAAAGAGCTCTAGCCTGGGACAGCCGAGTGGGAAAGTTCTTGCCTAACACATAAAGCCCTGGGTCTGCTTCTCCACACCACTGCCGAGGTGAAAGAGAGTGAGCTCTGTCCGGTGTAAGGACTTTGGCAGATAAATGGTCCTTCGCTGTACTGGTCAACAAGTGAGCACAGTTCTTACCCAAGAGAGAAATTTGTTTTCAAGTCAACCTCTTTGTTTTCAGGTTTAGCTTTTTCATGGTTAGTGACAACCTATGACGATGAAGGAAGCTCTTTTAGCAACATCCATGAAGAGGCTGCATCCCAAGACCTTCTAGAGGCAACTGCACTTTGCCCTTTGGTTAGACCACCCTGCTCACCACTGCCTGCTTTTTCATATCCTGGTCCCTTTCCATCTGACTTCGCTGTGCCCAGAATGCCCTCCCTTTCTCTGGGTGGGAACCTCTCATGAATCCTCTCATAAAAATAATACTAGCAAACAAGTTAATAATAAATATATGTTCAATAGGCCAACCCAAACGATAGGCACAGAAAGAGATCTCCACAATATCACAGAAGAGATCCATCAAAATGGCAAGGCACAGAAAGAGATCTATACAATATCACAGAAGAGATCCATCAAAATGGCAAAGCACAGCAGGTATATTTAAGAAGTTCAAAAAATATTATCTGAAAATCCATCTTACTTTTCATGTATGAATGCATATCTAAATTAAAAGATCCTTAGATATTTGTTGAAAAGCCAAGACCTTAATTAAAATAATTATAAAAGGATATGTAGTTTTAAAGTTTTACATGAAGTTTTAAATAATAAAGATAGTGCTTTAACATAAACTTATACATGAATTTTTAAATATTTTCATCATTTGTAACAAACATTATAACTACATTGCTTAATAATATGGTAGATTTTAAAGCCAAAAAGGTCATACAATATAGACTTTTATGTATTTGCTTTCTTTATAATCCAGAGAAAGCAAATGATTTGTATTAGTCACATAATCAGCAGTGGAACTGAAATGAGAACAATGATTCTTCATATCCTCTCTGATTACTTTTTCCTCATTAATTATACTTCATCAGGAGATAATTTGATGTGATAACTATAGCATCCTAATTATTAGAAGACATTTATCTATCACAAGTATTTCCCACTGTAAAAAGCTTTGTAGTATCATATGAAAAGATGTTAATACTGTTGTACCATGAAGTCATAAAACTTAAATTCTATGATTAAAAACTTGTACAGAACCTTCAAAATATAGTCACTTATAAACATCATATTTTAAATATCAAGCTGAATTTAATTTTTCACCTTCATGAAAAACATAATGGAAATTCTAATATTTTTCTCTACTTTCCATGTGTGATTCCTCATGCTCCTGAACACATTCCACTCTAAAGACTGCTACAAAGCATTATAAAAAATGGATCATGGAAATTTAGTTTAGGTTGTGATGTATTTAATATATAAATAAATCTGTTTGTCTTGCCTAGGAAAAATCTTATTCACCATACCATGAGACCAGAGGCCTGTAATACTTTTGCCATGCTTACTTACGCACACAGGATGGGAGCTGACCAGACCAATTGTGATCCTGCTGACATATCCTCACTGAAGAGCCGATCAGCCGGAAGCCAGGATTGCACTGGTACACAACTGTGTCTCTGTATCCATAATTTTCTCCAATAACTTGACCATTCACAATGAGTTCAGGAATTCCACAGTGACCCGCTGAAATGAGTCAAAATAATATTTTAGTATATTATTGTTTTCTGTATATTTATATACATATGTAGCTTTACTAACCTTTTAACTTTTACTTAGCAGAATAATTCAAATAACTCAGTTACATGACATAGAGATAACTATAAGATGCCTTGCAAAACACCAAGTACTGGGAAATTAAAAGACACTTCTATTGACATGGGTCTAGAAGAATTTATAAAATGTTTCAATTTATAAAAATGAAAATATAAAGTAGCAACATTTGAGGAATATAGACAAAACAATGCTTATGAAATAATGTATAGGGGTTGTGTTCTTTTATAAAATAAAAAGGACTCAAAATTCCATCTTAAAAAGGGAAGAAACAGGAGCAAAATAAAAAAGATAAAATGAAGCCCCATTAAATAGACAGAAGAAAATATTTAAGACAATTACAGAAAACAAAGAAATAAAAAATGTATAATAGTATAAATTAAGGCAAAGGTTCTTTCTTATAAAATAGTACCAAAATTGTTAACCTCTTAATGAAACTTATCAACAAAAATGGAGATACAATTACTAGTAACAGGAATAAATGAAGCGATATCAGTGTAGTCTTTAGAGCCTAAAAGGATAAGAAAATATTGAGAATAACTTTACGTTTAAGAGTTCAGAAGAAGACAAATTCCTTTAGAATTATAACTTACCAAAACTAATATAAGATAAAATGGAAAATATGAATAGTTTTCACTTATTATTTGAATTACTAAACAGAAACCTTCTAACATAAAACTGATAAGTTCAAATATTTGACAAAGATAAAATAACATTGGTAACTTCAGAAAAATTTAAGGCAGGAAAAAATCAATCTTACACAAACTCTTAGCAAATAGAAGACCAAAAAATATAATTTATCAATCATAAAACCAAAAATAAAACCTTAACAAGACACATGAAAAAGAACAATGTATTTTATCATCCAAAATGCAAAATTCTCTAACAAAATTTTAGAAAATTAATCTGGCAGCATAAAAAATGAGATTACATCATGATTATCTGAGGTGTATCCACTAATGGAAAGTTGTTTTAAGTTGGAAAATCAGGCACTGTAACTTACCATATTAACACAGTAAAGAACAAAATCTATATGAGTATCTCAATAGATGCAGAAAAATCATTCAGCAAAATTTAATATGTACTCATGATAAAAGCTAACAAGTTAGCAAGAAACAGAACTTTTTCAGTCTGAAAAGACACATAAAATGGCCCAAAAATATATTTATCAATATACTACTGAATGCTTTGCTCTTGATATAAAATAAGACAAAGTTATCTACTTTTATGAGTTCTATTCAATATTGTTCTATTGGTCCTAGCTAGTGTAATACATTTTTTAAAAGGCAGGAAACAACCATAATACTGGGAAACAAAAAGCCAAAACTATGCTCAAAGGACCTATGTAGAAAATCCTATTTTAATAAAAATTTAAGATGATTAAGTGAATTTAGGAAAATTACAGGATACTAGACAGATATTTTTAAATAACTATATGTCATGTACTTGTAGAAAACACATAAAAAGTATAATTAAAAATAAACACTTTAACTTATAATAGTGAAAGATTCTGGGTAATAAATTTAGCATTAAGTACATAGGATCTCTGTCCTAACATTACAAAGTATTGCTACTTCAAAAACTTAAAAACCTACATAAATGAATAAATGTACTATGTGCATAGATCAGATACTTCAATATTGTTAGATGTCAATTCTCCCCAAATTCACCTACAGATTCAGTGCAATCCTGATCACAAACTCACTAGACATTCTTGTTAGAGTTTTGCAGATTAATTCTAAAACTTATCTGAAATGTAAAGAAATTTGTTATATGATCTCAAGTCCTATTATGACATCTTTTTCAACAAATATTGCAGACATTGTTCTAAAAAACAGAAAGCAAGCATCAAATCTCAATCCTACTACATACAACAAAAATTAAAAATTTATAAATAAAAACTAGCATTATAAAACTTCTAGGACAAAAAAGACAGAAAGTCTTTATGACTGATGACCTAGCAAAGGTTTCCTAAGCAGAACATAGACAATAAACAGAAAAGAAATCAAAGAAATAGACTTTAAAAGGTAAAAGATTCCTGTTCATCAAAAGATACTATTTAAAAAATGAATAAGCCTGTCAGACTGGGAGGGAATACTCATAAAACATGTAATGATGAACGTCTTCCGATCAGAGTTTAAAAGAACTATAATTCATAGTTCAAATGTAAATAAATATATGGTACTTTAGAACATCACAAAGGAAAATTTATAAATAAATAATAAGTCCATAAAACTGTGCCAAGTATCAGAAGTATGAATAAATATAATGAAAATCTCATGCAGGAGAGAATCGGGCCTCTCCTTGGTATTCTATTCCTGAGTACTCAAGAGAAAGAGAATACTACAGAAAGACTTTTATGGAAATGTTCAGAGCATTTTTGTTCATAACAGGCCAAAACTGGATAATGCTCTGGTGTCCACCAAGAAGAGAAGGACTGAAGTGTGCCATATTCATATAACGTAACTCTATTCAGCAATAAAAAGAACAAATTATAGATACAACAACAGGGATGAAAGAGAATGAAAGAAATATTACAAAAGTTGTGCCTAATTCAGGAGTCCACTAATATAAATTTCTAAAACAGGAAATATGTGGTGAAAATGTGAAATATGAACAAATATAGTGAGAAAAATCAAACAGCTATCACCTCAGATTAAGGGAAAAGATAGTTCTAGAGTGTGCAGCATCATGAGGAATCTCTGTGAAGTAATGCTCAAATTCTATATCGTTAGAGTGCTGCATTAAATAAGAGCACATATTCATCAGGCTCATATAAACTATATTTATGACATTTATATACTTTACTGTACAGAAATTTTGCCACAGTAAATCAGGAAATACAAACTACAAACAAATATTGAACTGTAACTATGATATCACTATTGATATTGAAATGTTTAGCATAGATTTGCATAACTCCAAAATACATTTGAAAAAGGATGGAGGCCTAGAAAGAGTGGTAGATATGTGATTAGCAAATATGATGAAATGCTGATTGCAAAATCTAGGTGGGAGACATATGCATGTTCACTGTTCATCGTTCTTTTCAATGAAAATAACTCCATAAAATGCTAAGGAGTTGCAAATAAATGCACTAAGCTTAGAAAAACAAGCTTAAGCACGTTCTAGTGGCCATTCCAAGCGAAAAGTGTCTTGGGCTGCAAGAGCATGTTGAGAACGCTGGAGTTCTTAAGTCCTATCACTTCACAAAGTCATAGGATTTGATTGATTGAAAGTTCATTTTCCTCACTATCAACATCCTTTGATATATACATTCCATATCAAGACTAAGGCCTCTACAATACATAATGTTGTCTTCATAAACTGAAGGGCAATTTTTGCTCATAAATATTTGTTATGTCCAGTCTTTCCAGAGAATGTAATCAAGATTCCAAATAGATGACTAAAAATGCACATTATACATACAACATTCAATAAAAAACATTCAGTATGATATACAATAACAGGTTATCAAAGCCTATAGCAATAAATAAAGTATTTATAATTTAGCTTACTTTTAAATTTTCAAACTAATTAGTCAGGAATTGAAACCAATTCACGTTAGTTTAGGAACTAATAAAAATTCATTGGATTATTTAATAACAATAGCATGATGATTTTATTTATTTGCTATTTTCTTTTTTACACTATGCTTTTATAGCATGTTCAAATAAGTTTGCTCTTGTAAAGAAACTACAGTATTTGCTACTGGGTTTTCCAGTGTACCTATTAACAAATGTACCTGAGAAGGAAAGAAATAAGAAATACTAACATGAACTTTTAACAATGCCTTCCTATGTTTCAAATAGTGATTTTTAAAAACCAAGAATACTTTCAAACTTACTAGCAAAACAATGTGTGATTTAAGCTGCTGAGGTGTAGACTTTTCTCTCCTGTATCATATTCCTAACTTGTCGAGAAAAAATGTACAAGTTTTGCAATAAAATAATTAATATAACAAGCAATTTTTAAATTAGTGAAGGAAAAGATTCAACAGACAAGTGAATAATCATTGAAGTAATTAAGACAATTATCTAATTCAATACTTGTTGTCATATCTTGATACTATTTTACAGAAAAATATGGCATAAATCATACTATTCTCTTAATAGTAAAGAAATTTTTGAAGTCTTTACAAAAGATATGAAGCATGAACCGTAACATTCTTTTCATAATAAAAGAGAAGGATAAAAGATAAAACTCTTGTTCAGTTCCTTTTACTGAACAAGTTTTTACAATGAATTCAAAGAATCCGAAAGGAGAACAATCCTTCTTGCCTAAAATTACATTCAAAAAATTATTTTAGGTTTTAATTAAAAATAGTTTGACACAAATTGCAATCTTATAAAATAAAAGGAGAGAAGGTAATTTAAATGCAGACACTTTTTCTTCTTCAGTCAATACCTTAACAAACTGGTGAAAGGGGAACTGAGTAGGGTTTAGAATGAATAAACTGCCACAGCAATTAATCAGACTGAGTATGCAGCCATATAATTTCTACAGTTTGTTTTCACTTTTTTATTTTCACCATGCCTGCAAGAAAACGTGTCTCCTTAATGACGTGATTCTCATTAGAAATATGAGTTGATTAACTGACAGTTATCGGTTTAATAGTTTTTCTACTGTGAGCAATTTTTAAAGTTCGGTATTATCTGATTTTTTGCATCCCTATTGAAGAAAAGAAATGAGCATTTCACATCAGGCGAGGAGGTTTGCCTCCATTCCAGTACTTCTGTATGAGGAAGGTTGGGGTGGGCGGAGGAAAATGAATTAAACACCTGTACCTAAGCATCTGGTTTCAGATCCACTCCAAAGACCTGAGGAAAGGCATTCCCGGACAGTGGAGCCCACAAGCATGAATCCTGAATTACAGGTAAAAATAGCTGTTGAGCCGTATGAAGTCTGCGTTCCAATCTTATTTCCATTTGGAGGCGTAGGTAGTTCTCCACAGGAAATAACTTAAAAACAATAAGTGAAAACCCTTAAAGACACAGTCAATATGCACTTGTAACAAAACCATGCTTTTAACATCTTGAGATCCCTATGATATGACGTATTTACAGTTGAAATTGACATTTGTAAACTATGCTTGAAAGAATCTGAAAGTATAAAGAGGTGATATAATTCAGAATTTATCCTCTTTTAAAATGTTTTAAACTATGTATTAGCTGTTACATAAAACAAAAACTATTCTTATTGATGGAGGGATAAATAAAATTTCAATGCATGTAAACAACGTATAATGTTTAAATCAGTTTAAGCTTTAGCCCCGTTGAGCTGCCGTAAAACCTTCTACATGGCAGTGATATATGTTGAAGGTATTTTCTTTTAATTTTTGCATAGCTAACTTGATTATAGTAAAAAAACAATCATAAGATTAAAAAGAGGATAATTCATTAGTCCAAAAATTTTATCTAATTTAGTCAAGTGCATTGGATTGGCCTTTTGAATTACGTATTTAAACCAAAGCTTCTTCATATCTCATCCAATGAAAACATCATAATAAGTACAAATAAGCTTTGTCAAGGACTCAGTAAAGAACTTTACATGTAAAATATTTGATTTTCCCAACAGTCATCATATATATCTCACATATTATAGTTTTTAAAACTGAAGATAGATTAGCTGACTTGCAGGTGACTCAGAAGCTATCTCTTATGATTCCCTCATATTTAAAGCCTACAAATAAAAAGTCTTTCTACAATAAAAGCAATTTCAGATAATGTTTATCGAATGCTTACTGTATAACAGTACATTCACTTAAGTGATTTTCAATGCAAATCCTGAGGTAGTGCAATGATTATCTGAATTATGTTTATTAGAATATAGGCACAGAAAAGTTAAGTATCTTGAATAAAAGGACACAGCTTACAAATAGCTAACTCCAGATTTAAAACCAACTCTCTAACTCCAGAATCCAATATTTAAGTAATTACCCATAATGTTTTATTCTGGCTCAAGCTATGGATTTCAGCTCTAAGTTGTAGGTAGCTCTTAGAAAGACAAAAATAATCCTTTGAAGTAACTATTGCTATTAGCAATGTACTTATGTTAATACCATTCATATTTATATTTTTTATTTCAAAGATGAGTAAATGGAGGACCAGATTAATCCACTATTTTTTTCATTGCTTCAGTGAATGGCAATTCTTAGATTCTTTGTCTTTGCTCAGTGCTGACCTGTGGGCAGTAAGCTAAACTTCTTTATCACTTAAATCCTTCTGCAAAGTAGAGGATCTAGCACAATTGAAACAGTAAAAAGATTTGTAAAATTTTTGCTTAAGTGAATGTGTCTCTTATAGAAGATTTTCCCTGGATCTTTTGAATATCTGTCTCCCATGTTCCCTTTTAGTGCAATTGTCCTGGAAAGGCAAGGAGGCCAGAGGTAGGGAAAAATTTGCAAGAAAATCTGGAAGATAGAGCAGGATTATATAAAATATATTTTAGAAACCTATTTTTAAGATTTTATCCATTAACATTGTTAGCTTACAACAGAACAGCCAAAAAGTCCTACACTGATAGAGATTAAGGAATAAATTACAAATCACAGTATATCCATAAGTAAAATAATAACACACACTTGCATACTTACTACAGGGGATCCTAGTTGTCTGGTATCTTAAAACTCCAAATCATCAAAACCTTCGACTCTTGAGTACCTTATTAGCTTATCTAAAAATTACGATGTCAATGCTCTATGTGCTATAGAGTTATTTTGGATACAAATTAAAAGGCTGAAATTTTAGCCTAGTATATTTCCAGGACAGAGCAAACAAAAAAGTTCATAGTAGGAAGTTTGTGTATTTCCAAGTATATCATCTGAATATCCTACGTTGAATTAGCCTGTTCATATTACACTCTGGCCATTTATAGTAAAAGAATATGTAGAAACAATTGCTCAGTTATATAATTAATTGTTCAATTGACTTAATTGTTCAGTTTGGTTCAATAGTATTTACTGAGGTCCTTGTTAATACAGTTCGAGCTGGCATTTCAAATATATCAGAGCATTAAATCATCCCAACTTCATGATATATAAATGATCATAATTTTTCAGTTTAAAAAATCTGGTTTTAGACAGACTGAGCATCATATAGCATTGTAATTAAAAGCCAAGTGCGGTTGTTAGATTGTGTCAAATATCAATTCTCCATCATTTGTAGGCTCTGTGATTTGTGTAAGATAATTAAATCTTAGTTCCCTTTTTTACAAAATGAGTATAATACAAAGTAAAATGCTAAAAGCAGTATACAACAAGTAGTAAGTATACAAAACTTTGCTCTGTTGATAAAGTGAATAAACTAAGAATTAATAAATATTAATAAGAACATAACTATGAAATCTTAAAATGTGATGAAAATAAATATCCATATTAATAATACTATTTGACTGAGAAAGGTGGTACAATGCCTACAGCCCCAGTTACTGGGGAGGCTGAGTCAGGTGTATTGCTTGAGCCCAGGAGATCAATGCCAGCCTGGACAACATAGCAATGTCCTAGCACCCCTCCCTCAACTCACCCCCCAAATTTCATTATTACTCTAGTGTGTTTGGAAATTAAACCTATTTAAACAATTCAATCCCCCAAATAGCTTCTGAAATCAATTTGTCAGACTGTATACTTACTTTGGCAGTATGGTCTTTCATTTCTCCAACTCCAGGTACCATTCGCAAGGCATTCAATAGAAGCAGGACCTAGTCCATGATAACCAGGGTCGCAGCTGAAAACTACCTTGGTTTTGTATTCATAATGTGATCCATTTACAATTCTCCATCTTCCATGTTCCAGAGTAAAAGAGTTGATGCTTGGACATGTAACAACTATACAAAAACCGAAAATACAAATGGTAATCAGGCAATCACTTGTGTTCCACCTCTTAATTATAGCTCATCAGTATTCCAAGCTTTATATCTCCACTGCCTTAATTCGTTCACAGTTATGCCATACAAGGTGCTTTACCATTTGTTCTTTATTTTTCTCCACATTAATCATTTCCATTTCCCCAGCAGTATGTTACTTCTGGCAGTTCCTTGAACATGACCTGCTGTTTCACAAATCATTTAGTCTTTATGCACATTATTTTACCTACCTAGAATCCCAATTACAGCCTTAGCTCTACTAATTTATTTCTTTAGATGTTTTGGAAGAACTATATTTTCCGGAAATTTGTTTGATGAGAATGGCCTTTTCATGGAATGGCTGTGATATAAACCTTGGCTGGTTCAAAACCTTGCTCAATATAAGTAGAAGCCTTAATAGGCATCTATGCTGATTACAAATAACTTAACCCTTACTTTAAATGAAATCACAGCAATGTTAAACTGTTAGCACTAAATGGAAAGAAATAAGTCCAAAGAGAAAATTAAAGGCATTATTTAAACCAATCCTTTCTATTCCTTTTGCTACCAATTTATTCATGAAAATTAATTTATATTATCATTATATAATATTCATTAATGGCTTAAAGTGGTAGAGACAGCAACAGGATATATTCAGAGCATATTGAAGAATACTGACAAAAGTCAAAATGTTCCGGGTAGGTTCAAGAGTATCATTTATCTTTATAAAAATCAGAGCTGAATGCATTGAAATATAATTTTATTATTGCAAACTAAAAAATTTTCCAAAGATCTATGGACTGAAAACACATATTGGTTGATGCCTGATTTCTTACAAAATAAATGAAACTTTGTTGTATAAAATGACGCAAATATTTTTGACATAAATATTCTGTAGTGCCCAAGAATGAGCGAAAACCCCCTTACTGTCCACCAGTACTTTAATATAGATAAATTTTCATTAGCTTTCTTTTTAGACATGACACTTCAGTTCAGGGATTCAACAATACGTATGATTTCAAATCACATAAGAAACGGAAAGCCAATGGAAACGTGAATGATCACGTTTCAGTATTGCACGTACCAACGCAACGTGGGGTCTTGTTATGGTTGCTCCATGTCCCGTCTGACTGGCAGGAGGCAGTGGTGAGTTCCTTGGATGACAATCTGTATCCATCATTACAAAAGTAGGTAACTCTAGTTCCTACCAAGTAGTCTGTTGTGAGTATCCCTCCATTTGTTGGTGCTTTAGGAATGCCACAGGAAATTGCTGAAATCAAAATGTATACAAATTATGGAAACAGAAATGCTGAATTTATTAGGCAAATCTTTAAACTCTAAAACAAGTGAAAAACATTGGGATTTTATCTATTCCTTCGAAAGAATTTCAGAACATATCACAGGAAATGTTTTCTGAACCATACATTTTTAATAATTCCCTTCAAGCTCATATTTTCTGTTTATACTAGTGAGCCTATATATTCCCAGTGCTTTGCTCCTTGATGTCATAAGTTCTTGTCAGCATGTCCACAACTATCAGCATTCACACTGATTATGTGAGAATGCAGACTAGGTCGGTACAGAGCATATCAACCACCTAGCAATGCTGGTTAATTCAATTTAAAAAATAATTCTTAATAATTGTGAAGGGTTGGCAACCAATACTTATCAGCCAAGAATAAAGTAAATAGATTTATTTTACCTGCAAGCTATTTATCTTCAGTATCCTGAAATGTACGTGCTTGGGCATCATGCTTATAGTATCATGTATTGGGCATGTTTAATAAATATATGGCCAGGTCTTAATTGTTTTAAAACGTACTTAGGATTTTCCTGAATTTCATTCATGTATTTGAGATCTCTTAGTTTTAATCTATAATACATTTGATTTAGTTTTACTATGATATGATAATGACAATAACATATTTTCACAATTTATTATACAAATTGAAAAGACTACACAGAAATCTTCTAAACATGTTTCCATCTTTGCCTCACAAAGTCACAATTTCACTCCCCAGAAGACAAAACATATAATCTTCCAAAGAACATATTTGGCTTCAATACCCCAATTAAAGAGAGTTTGTTAGACTGCTATATAACATTCTCAGGGGAAATATTTAGACATATCTTAACAGTCAGATTAATGGATTTGAATATGTAACCTCAAGACAAATTAGAAGTGGTACATAATATCTGATATTTGCACTGTACCACACCTTAATAAGATCAGAAAATTTCTGAATTTGGAAATACAATTAGTCTTACAGGTTCCATGTGAAGGATTCTAGACATATTTTCCACATAGTGAAAGAAATAAACAAAAATATGTGTGATTATTTCAGAAAATCTTGTTTTCTATTCACCTATTTCAACCTAAAATTGTTTCTAATTCTTTTATACAACATACTATTTATGTATTTAATTTTTACTAATCTATGTGAACTGGATATAAAGCAAAAAACCTTAGTGAAATTTACAATGAAATTTTCAAAACTGAATAGCAGAATCCTACTACTTAATAGTTTGATATTTGTAATTTGGAAACCTGAAAATATGAACACAAAAACAGTAAACCTGCTTAATAGATTATATAAGCAATCTCAAATAACTGTGTCATTATCCTTGATTTCTAATTACAAAACCTCTAAAATCGAGTTACAAAAGTACATGGTACCCTGATGTTTGTTAAAGCAAAATTTGTATTTTTACTTAGAAGTTCTGGGAATTTTGATCTGTAATAAGCCACATCACCATCAGAGATCATGTACACAGTAACTTTTTTCAAAGATCACTCACTATAACTTGTTGAGTAATATAAGTTGAATCTAGATAAAGGTAAAATAAATATAGTTTAATAGCATAGGTTCCACGGGTAGGTTTAGAATTACATTGTTCTATTTTAGAGCTGAAAAATAAAAATACACCATAATACAATGACCACACAGCTACTGTGCCTGTGGATTGCTTACTGTTTAATTTCTCAGCTAAAAAAGATAAAGGAAGCAAGATAGAAAAGAAGAAAAGGAGGTGGGGGGGGGTGGAATTTTAGAACAATCATAGTCAATGAACAGTTGTCCATGAGGCTTCTCTATAAAACCCTCAGAAAGGAAAAATCAGAAGTGTGACAGGGAATTCAAAGTGACTGTTTCTGCCTTTAACAGTACTTATATCCTGTACCTATATACCCAAGTAAATACATATGAGGATGTATAAAGAGACTGAAGAGGCAAGAAAAACAAAAAACAAATTTGGATTTTAAAGTTTCCATTATATGAATAGCTCCTCCCAATGACATATAAGTTATCTATGACCAAACACCCAGGTCATAAGACAGGTCATATATCTCACAAACTTTTTCATAAAATAACCTTTCAAAATGGTTCCAATGATTATAAGAGATCAACTTTTGGAAATACTGCTGGAATTATAAATATTTTATACTTTTACTACATTAAATATCCTTTAAACGGTCATTCAAAATTGACCTATTCTAATTATAGAAAAATATAAATCAAGAACAATGATCCATATATAAAAATATGCTTAAATCTGAATGAAATGTGTCCCAGAAACCTACTCAATAATTTATATTTTCTGAATCCGCAAAACAAAGAAACAATACATCTTTCATCCCATGCTTATTTACATAAGTACACGAGAGCTATTATTTCATGAATTAGAAATTTCATTCTAATAAACTAAAGAACCTATTTTGGTTGCCTGGTAATATTTATTTCTCTGCTCATCTAAACATGCTGTTGCTTAACTTTAAATTTTAATCTATTTTACATTTTATTTGTTTATATAAATTTTCTGCAAAAAGGAGATGACAGTTAAGATCCACTATTTATTAATTTAAAGTGTTATGTATTTTTAATGGAATGGTTCAAAGTTGCTATATGTATGTCATTCTGCACTCTAGTTAAAACAAATAAAATATAAAATTAATTTTTGTATTGACAAAATAATGTGATGAATGAAATATCTGAAATTTGTCAAAGCCCAGTAACATTAATTTATCATGTGTGCTTGATGTTGAACTTATTTTATGACTATAACTAGCTACAGACTCAAGTAGTCAAATCTTTTTTAAAAGGAAGTCCTAATCAAAAGCACTAAATGAGCTAGTCACTTTGTTTGCTGTAGCAAGACACAGTGCTTAGACAGTGCTTGATTCTTAACAAATACATATCAGAATGAAAACCACATCCCTGTTGAGTTTGCTAAGGCGGGCTGGGGGGGGGGGCGTTAAGTAGTAGGTCACATTTTTCTCCTTTAAATTTGTTCATCTAAGAGCACAGTCTGAGTGAAATTCAACTTGCAAGGTAGAATTATTTTTATCCTTAGTATTGATCTCAGACTCCTCAGTAACTCAGTCTCTCTATTTGGATCATTTTCTGAAAACAAAGTATCTTGAACGGTACACACACACACACACACACACACACACACACACACGGGGAAAGAGAAAAAGCACATTAATTTCATAACAGTGATTAAGTATTTTTAAAAATGTCTCTTTCCCCCTAAATTTAGTATTCTGTGTCTTTAGCGTCTCAATTTTAGTAAAGTAGTCCATAATATGCTTCAGAATATGAATATTTGGGGAATTTTTAGTGATTCAAGTGAAAAAATTAAATGAGAGTAAACTTTTATGAAGGCTTGTATGTATTTCTGGCAAAACTCACCTTGACAGGCTGGAACGGGAGCGTCCCACGCATGGTACCCATAGGAGGACTTCCGGCAGACGGCGCTGCTCTTCCCAATAAGCCGGAAGCCGCGGTCGCAGGCCCAGCGGACCACGCTGTTAAGCTGCCCACCCGTCTGGCTGATGATGTATCCATGCGGTGGAGACTCCGGGGTACTGCAGTAGAACGCTTTTCAAATGAAAAGAAAACTGCTTAATTAATGAATGGGAAATTCTTTATGATACAAAGTTACAAATAACTATCCAATGATATCGGCACCTAAAAAGAGGAGGTCAATTGTCATCCATGTGAATTTTAGTTCACATAAGCATCATGTTGTTTTCAGTCTTCTTTTGAAATAATCTAATTTTAGGACACATAACAATCTCTGAGCTTTCTTCTAATTTGTATTGTCATTTAAGATGTCTTCTATATTAAAATATATTTTCTTAACCCTCTGGGGTTTCAAAATCCTTACAAATATTTCATTGAACTCTGGAGGCTCCATTTCCTGTTATTTAATGGGACCAAATGCCACAGCCTTGAGAGCAACATTTTAGAACATGTTGTTTACATGTCACTTTGAAGTTATCTCCAGATACTTATAGATCATGCTAGGTCATGCATTTATTTCATTTTGCTTGATGGCTGAAACAGGCCCCCACATTTTCTAATCCTCCATCCCAGTCTATTAACGAGTTTCCATTCTGTCAAGAGTGCTTACATATGGTGATAGAAATTGCCAATAAAATAAAACTTCTTCCTTCTCCTGAAGTCTGAAATGTCAAAAGATAATGTCAAATAGCTTTTTCATAAATATACTTCAAGACTATTCAGCCTGGCAGGTTCCATTTACCCTTTGAAACTTCAATGTATTCATCTGAGAAAAGTGAAACTTTGAGGGTAAATAGTGAGAAGCAGATTGGACTTGAATATATATGTCATAACCTGTCATTTCTGAAGAAAAAAATACATATTTAATATGTCAAGCTGTTCTTGATAGCTAAAAGTGGTGTATTCTTTATATCTATACCAAATTTTGTCATGAATATTAAAATGAATAAGGATAGGCCTATAATATAGTCAAGCTAATACTTACAAATTTTCAAGTCGATTAGGTTGTCTTCAAAGTTATTATAATTATTTCGAATATAACTTATTGTGCTAACTTTTATGTGCTTAGGACACAATTTTAATAAAGTTGCATTTACATATTTCATGCAGTAAAAACACATTCAAATACTAAATTCTTCAGGATAATTGGACATATATTTCAATTTTTAAATCATGATTTTTTACTTTAATTGAACAGAAAGTTATTGTAGAATTAAACATATAAACATTTTAGTTACATACTGTTACTTCTCACATGTAAAACACAAATTAATAAGTTAAACTCAAACTATCATCTTGTAGTTTTAAAGTCAAAATAATTAGACAAGATTATTTTATTTGTCTATTATAGTGATATTGGCAGTTACTTAAGGGAGTAAAATTCAGGAGTATACCTTTTATAAATAAAATTCAAAATTTATTTGTCTATGTTTTAGATTGTGTTAAAGTCATTCATAACAGTAAATTTCAGTTGAACTCAGCAGTAACCTGTGACACAGGAGGTATGGTCTGAATACTGTAGAGAAAGAAACATTGGATTGCTTCTGACGCATTCTGCTATTGAGCCCACCTCTCAGTTTCTGTTATGATTTAGGATGATGTAAAGAAAAGAAGTATGACTTTCACAGACTGGAAAACTATGTGTATCTACTCATACAAGATATTAGGTCAAGGTCAGTGATCTTAGAAATAGGAAAGCATATACAAAAAGCTGTATTACCCTGATATTAAAAAGAACTTTCAGCTCATAATTTTCTAAATATTACTCAATGAAAAGCAACAATGATAATTTTATTTTAAACTTAGTTTTTAAACAAGTTCACCGCTATTACAATATTTTAAATATTTTATAATTTATTAAACTATTTTATTATATATTAAAAATGGATAATGTTTAAAACAAATATATGACATTGTATGCTTACCTTTGGTTTAAACTTGTCATTTATTAAATAGATCAGGTAATACACAGTTGAGCAGCGCTATTAACATTTTCTCAGAATTAAATAATTAAGAATTTCACTTTAATTTATAATGAACTCAGAGAAGTCATAAATATCTAAAATGCTTTTAACTCATAAGAAAAATTATATGTGATATGTGGAATTACATATAATTACATGTGGAAATCGAGGCATGAAGAGGCTATCCAAAGTGTTCAAGAAACATCTTAATACATGTCACTCTGGTTAGTGTCTGGGCTCTTTACTCAATCCAAATGAGGATGCAGGTGCAACTCGTACTGAAATTAAAAATATTGCATACCTATGTATCTTATCCGGAAGCCTTTTTTGTTATTGCCATGATCTGCTGACCACTGAAGAAATACTTCGTGACCATTGCTTGTTATATTAAAAGCAGATGAATAATCCCCACTGAGAGAAACAAGCACTGGACTTTGAATATTTGGTCCTTAAGAAAGAAAATAATATAATTTAGATATAACTAAAAATTATATTTATTTATCTTTAGTATTTTATATCTTTAGGATAATATTAAATAGCTGTCTTGCTCTACAGCCAATGTTCCTCAACAGTAATATACAAAATCAGAATACTACAAGACGTTTTAAACATTTTAATGCTATAGTTAAAGTAACTAAAGTTTGAAAAATAATAATCAACCTAATTAAAATTCTTCTGTGGTATATAGTTCATGTTAACACTTCTATAATACCTCTAAAATAAAGATCGCATATATAGTTGTTTGTACTGAAGGTCTCCATGTAATGTTAGGGCATTTGGACTGAATGTATATCTAGTAAATATAACCCACGGTTACCATCATACACCTGAAGAACATCAAACTCCTTTTCTGTCTGGAAGAATTCTACAAACATGCTGATATTATAACCCTTTTCCACCGAAATGCTCCAGGCGCACATCTGAAGATTAGGGTAACTGTCGGGGTACCCGGGGCTCAATATGACTCCTGTAGAATCCAACCGTAACTCATTGGCGGGACAGAGCACTGTCAAAGAAAGGTAGCATCAAATAATGAGAATCGTTCAGAAGCTATATGAAACCTGTGTTTTAAATACTGAGTATTTTCTTTTCATGTTCACTAACTATAAAGAAGATGATACCTTGAATTATGTGTCAGAAGACACATATTAAAATTACCACATAAAATATGGAGCAATGACCTAAAATTTAAAATATTAATTATCCTTTCATATTATATGGAAGATACACTACTTTTATGGACAATAAATAAATACATAAGTAACATATGAGTCATTCATCTCCTATTTTTGCATATTCTTTCATAACCTTTCCTTATGTTCTTCCATCTCTGTCCCTCTCATCTGTGTCTTTGTCTTATGCTTTCTTTCATTACTTTTTGCTCATTTTCTTGTTTTATTAACCTACAGCCCTTTTAGGTGTTTGGGGCCAGAAAAGAAACTGCCTTTTCCAGGCATTCATTTCAGGCAAAGTCAGGGATGGACCTCAGCTATGAGGACTTAACACAACTCCAGGTGCCTGAGTAGCTCTCAGTTCTGTGCCATCTCCGAGCCTTAAATGGAGATTAAAGCATAAGATCTGCTTATTTTGTATGACTCTTTTTTAAATAGCAGATATGTCAAGAATAAATATGCAAAATATATACAAAAATACAAATTTGTTATATATTGGCAAAATAATATAATTATGTTCTAACAATCTCCAATGTACAATAAACTTTAATTGTTGGCATCAGTAGCCTTTACATATTAGAACAAAAATACAAACATATAATTAAATTGGGATTTGGAATGAGAACATAACAGAGATGATCAGACTGTATTACTCAAACCATATCACTGTTCAGTACATCTCACATTGCACAGAAATAACAAAAAAATACTAAACAAGATTTATTTCAGTAGAGGAAAAATCTATTTGTCAGAACAGTAGAAATGGCATAACCAAATGTCCTATGTATCACATTGCTGAAAACTTTTTAATTTCCAGACAACCACATTTTCATATTCTGAGATACTTAAGCAACTGGAATAATGGGTGAACAAGATATCCTTTTAGTACATATTAATTCAGCACATTAATGAGATTCACTAATGCATTTCCACACATGCAGATTAGATATTTTGATCCCTCCTCCTTTCTCACCATTCTCCTCACCATGACCCATCCCCTGGTTGAGGATTTCATGAATGGGAAACATATCCTACATCATTTCCTGATTGAACTACCATATATTTGTTTGTTAGTTTTTTGTTTTTTTGTGTTTTTTTTGTTTTTTGGGTTTTTTTGCTACAGGGGATTGAACTTGGGACCTTGTGCTTGCAAGGCAGGTGCCAAAAACACTGAGCTACATCCCCGGCCCTAGAACTACTATATATAAACTTCCATTTCTTCAGTCTCAGACTTCACTGTATCTTTAATTAGAACATCATGTAAAGAAGAATCCTTTTTTAACGTGTTAGTTCAAATAAATAGGCTTGGAAACACCAAATATAATTGGTGAGATGTAGATAAATACATAAAGAATTTATATATTCAGAATTTTCAGGGTACAAGGATGATTTCATATATTTGAGTTTTGAAGTCACCAAGTGGAATAGGTATGAAAAATTATAAGAAAACAATGAATTATGGTAGTATATGATTGCCTAGCAAATTCCAAACAAATGAGTCATTGAGTAAGCTTGTTAATTAACTCAATTTTTAAAAAATGTTAAGTCAGCTTCTTTGCCTTAATTCCTGGTCAATTCAATATAGAAACCACATAGATTTATTCTGAGGGGTGATTTATTAACTTTCAACTAGCATCTGAAGTGCTATTAGGAGATGAAAATGTAATTAATTATCATTTCTACATTCTCCATGGTAGCACACTAATAAGACTTGTAGTTACTAATCCATAAAAAAATATGATTTTAGAAATAAGACTATGAAAGATTGAGAAAACAAGGGATCATGAAATATCTAGGTTATCTGTATTATTTTATTTTAATTTAAGAAGTACTGAATGGCAATCCAGACATAAAAAGAAGTGTTTCCTTTAAAGTGTTCACCATGTAATTTATAATTGGAGTAAAAAAAGAAGTCCTCTATGTACTTGCTGGTTCTCACCTGCCTTATATGTGCAAGTTATTTTAGCAGGTATGGTCTCATAAGAGACAGTACTCTATCATCTCCAATTGCATATCTAAATTGTCTGAAAATGAATTCAATGTAATCTGGCTAGAGAGTAGTCTTGCCTGAAGGAGAAAACCGAATCACTGATACTCACATATCCACAACATAGTAGATTTCAGATTATGCATAGATTTAAGGATTTTCTTGTAGCATTGATTTAGAGCATGAGAAATTCTATCATTGTGATTGGTTTATACATCCAAACCTACTTTCTTTTTCTACTTTAACATCTTATCAAAAAGCTTCCAATTAAATAGAAAATCAAATGATAAGTAATTTATAGCACATTTAGAATAATAAAAAAACAGAATTTTTGTCTTAAGCTTATCATAATAGTTAAGATACTGTGCAAGAAATAGAGTCCAGCTCAGCAATTCCTGCTTCCTGCCTCAGAGGGGTGAGTGATCACCTCAGCTGAGTTGGGGACGGAGAACCCATCCTTCCTTCTATCCTTTGCTTTCACTCCAGAGAAAGAAGAGGATGAAAAGAAGTTTTCAAAGACAATCCCTTTCCAAATCCTAAAGAAAATAATTAACATTGGGACACACGGAATCTGCTGAGCACTGAACTGGACAGCTTCCACGAATTATCTGATAAGCATCTTTTGAGAGCCACTTTTCCATCCCAGATACTTGGACAAGATAATAGAAAAAGGCATGATGAACAACAAGATCTCCTACCTTGCCTCCTGGTATTTAAAAGTCTAAGGGGGTTAACATTAACTAGGAATTTTTAGACAATCATATGGTAGCAGACAGTTCAAATAAATTATTTACTAATATTTAAAAAATCTGGCACAAGAGGAGAATTCCAGACTGCTGTACCTCACCCTACCAGCTCAGAGAAGTTGAGCTGCACAGGTGCCAAGAGCACCCCCCTCCCCCCTTTGAAATGAGAAGACAAGTAAGCAAGTTTCAAAACCAGTCTTCCAGATCACCTAAAACAACCCCAAAGGGAAACAAGATGGAACACTGTGATACTCAACCCCCTGGACACCCTGAACAGGCAACAAAAGAGGATCTGGGAAAAATGAAATCAGAAATAATTTCTCAGATAA